GCCTGGGATTGCCACGGCCCAGATGTTCATTTAACAAGAGAGCTGTCCCAGATTAGTTACCAAAACAAAAAAGCCTTTTTCAGTCCTAGTCTGGGCAGGGGGTCCCACCCACATTGTTAAATAAACTCCATTATCTCCAGTGAAAATTAGATACCAAAAAAATAGAAACTAACATTTTTAACTTAGGTCAAAACAATTCTAAATTAGATTAGTAGTAATAACTTGAAGTGAAAAAGTAAGACCTCAGTTATAAATAAAGCAAAAACCTTGTATAGCTGATAGTTCTGGAAGAGCTTGAATATGCAAATTTCACACATTAAACCCAAAACTTAAACACAGAGTAATTATTATACCTTTACCAAACCATCATGAGTCTTGAAAAGTCTTCTACTGTTTTGAGCCAATGTTTAAAGATCATTAATTGAAATGGAAGTTAGGAAGATTCAAGGCATTTTCCTCCTGAGTTTTTCTCACTCTCAATCACATCCATACAATTTTTAGCCTGCACATCCTAAAGTACACATTTTCTTGCAATAAAAGGAAGCATTGTTTGTGTTGTTTTGAATAATACAGAGTAGGCTTTAATGCTTTTAATGCGTTTCCAACACTTTGACACAGTCAGATCCAACACAGTGTCTGAATTGTGAATTACAGTTCGAATTTAACCTGTATGCTTGTACTTTACAAACAATTGTATCACTGTTTTGCTTAGTGTATTGAATTATCACTTGATAATAGTGTACATGTAGAAGGTCAGTTTTCTATTCCTCAAATACTGGAATGAGGATGGAGTTCTTAAGCTCCACTTCACAAGTAAGGCTTGTGGTTTCCTGGGACAAGTTCATTCAAGCGATTCACATACTATGACAGTTCATTCTTTAGTAATGTCCTTGGACAATTCTTCCCCAGAAATGAACACTTGTGGTGATAACTCCATTCTAGGGAGATGCAAACTGTTAAGTGAAGAACTGCCACTATGATTCTGAAAGGCACAGAATATAGAGCTTACTATGCTTAGCCATCAAAAGTGGAGAGGGATTTTGCTGCTTCATAAATATGAGGGGAAAATGGAAAGGTAAGAAAGAAGACAGTGTTGGCACATTAACAGGCTGCTAACAGAGAAGAGCTGAATACACTAAGGCTAGCCCCACCAAATAGCAGCAATATGTGGAGGGAAGATGAAAATCTAACTATTTTAAGAGAGCAATCATTTGATGAAAAAGATCCCATATGACTGCCTGCAATAGCAGGCACATTATTCTCTCTCTGTGCAGCAGACTCCATAAAAAGGAGTTTAACATGAAGTGCTCCTGATGGTCGGGTAATGACAGCCCTCTTGTTTTATACACCTTTTCCTGAGCAGCCTCAGCTCCTCTGGCAAAGGAGATAAGAGCCAACAATAAAATACCTAACAATTTAGGCTAAGCTTTGAAGACAAGCTCTCACAGTCTCCTAAATCTTGGACTAGAAAATACCAGCATCTTCTTGCAGATTGACTTGAGCTGTACCCCTTGAAGTCATCAGGTGTTTGTCATGTCTCTGATCCAGTGGGCACAGCCCTTTATTAAGACTCCACAAGCAACTTTTAGCTACACTCTGACGCTGGAAAGGCCTTTTCAGTTTTAAGCCAGGAAAACCTTTTTCCCTGTTAGGGTGTTCAGGCATTGGAATAGGTTTCCCAGGGAAGTGGTGGAGTCACCATCCCTAGAGGTGTTTAAGAGGTGTCTGGAGGATATGGTTCAGGGCTTAGGAGTTACAGCAGTGACAGGTTAATGGTTGGACTCAATCACCTTAGAGGTCTCCTCCAACCTTGATGAATCTATGGTTCTGTTCTTTAGTTGTAGAATGGTTTTACATGAGAACTCTATGCAACTATCAGTTCTTCATTCCATTAGGCCCTGCCACATTTTGACTATAACTTCAGTATTTACCTCAAGGATTTCCTCTGTGTATTGACTTCCTCACCTCCTCTAACACTACAGTACTTTGTTATTTACCTCCTCAGTGATTCTTACCTTCTAAAACAGTACAACATAAACTATCTGAGATTTTTTTAGGTTGCAAAGGTAACAAAAGTTCCTCAAACTGAAGAAGTCTGTTAGAGATGTTTTTCACAGCTTACATCTTATGGAACATATTCTTGAATATCCATCTTCTTTCAGATTTCTTTATTATACAGGAAATCTACCAGTTTGCCTTGACACCATACTAAGCATTATAATCTTTGCTCAAAGTAGACATTAATAAGTGACTTGTCATACAGCTGATCTTGATGCACAAGCTGCATGACACCAGTATCTCCTAAAGGAACAGGCTTCATTTACACTTGCCCTCTAGCCTGCACTCTGGGGATGTGTTAAATTCATTAACAAAGTTCTGTAGTTTATGCACACTTCTTGAATGACTCCACATTTCTGAACAGAAAAGACAATGTTTTGTGTCTTGAAGGAAAGCCAAATGTTTTAGGAAAGGTGGGATTTTCCCACAAACAAAGCAGTTGGATCCAGACTTCTAGTTTGGAGCACTACTGAAACTCATCAGAAAGAAGAGCCTGAATTTTGTTGATTTTCTGCACTTAACTCCTCCACACTCTCAGTGCACATACATTTATAAACTCATTGGTCAGGGTCATCACATCTAATATTGCACAGAGCTGGTGCCCATGGAAAAAGGTGCCCTGAACCTGTATTACAAAGAAGACAGTTTAAAAGATTAATCAATTTGAACAGTAAACAAAAGATCCTTCCTCAGCAAGAAACATGAACATCCATTAAACCAGCCTAGAAACTAGGCACCATCACAAAGAGACTGAGGTAACCCAGGACAACATCTCTTCTAGACTGAATAGGAGTCACAAAATCAATTAGCAGTTCATTTTTTAATTCAGTGAAGATTTATACAAACAGAACACTCTGGAGAAGGACAGGCATGTACTGCCACAGAAGGGTTCCTACAGTACAGACAACAGCCTTCAGCTCTTTACTTTCCCAGTCTGGTTTTTGTGCAGTGAAGGAAACGCTCAGTGTAATAAACCCAAACATGAATTATCTGAACTTCTTTTTTTTTTTCCTTTTCAAACAGGAGGAGGAAATTAGTTCCTGCTAAAGATGTTCAGACTAGTCACTTTGCAAATGGTGCTGTGAAGCTGATCAGAAGGGAATGTGTTGTAGCATAATTGCCCTATTTCAAAGCATTATCCTGTAATAACAATCTGCAGCATGGCTGTGCTTCACTGAGAGGGAGAGAGTGCTACATCCAGCATGCCCCTCAGTACATGCACATTCCAGACAGAAGCATCCTCCTTTTCTAATGCTGGAAGGCAGCCCATTAACCAGCTTGAGCCTTTTAGATTCTAATTTCGGGGCAGAGAGATAGTACTTGCTTCATTGGCTGCAGCTATTTGTTATTTCCAGTTATGACCCTTGTGATTAAGTCAGGCTCTGAGCCCTCAAATCCTCTTCTGAGATGGTGAACAGCTTTTGTTCAACAACATATTAGGAAAGCACCTTTTGGCATCAGACCAAATGAATGTCTGAGTGTTAGCTTTTCAAAAGCTATCTCATTCATTCAATAAAGAAACCTCTTTTGTTCCGTTAAAACAGACAACATGTTACACTAGGCTGCAACTGATGAGAACTGTAGGTTGAGAACACTTCCCTTCCTTGCTGCTGGAATCCATACCCTTGTGCACTCATTTGTTTGCAACGGCAGAAAGTTGGTCCCGAATCCTTCCTAGACCTTCTAACATAGTGTCTAGGGTTTCTTTGCTCAGTTCCACAGTCAGTGCAGAAACAACAGGATTATTTCCACATAAGGCAGCATCTTCCTGAATCTGAAAAGAGGATTGCAGGCATTAGTTGTATGAAAAAATCCTTCATGTGTTTTCCCTAGTGCCACTACGAAAGTCAGTGTTTAATAGATTAAGGAAAATGCTTTAAATTGGGAATCCAGCTCCATCCTGAAGGAGCACAGCACATTTTCTAAGCTATGTGCCTCACTAGTGATGTGCACTTCCATTGAGAGAGTACAAGCGAGCATATACTGCCATGAGTATTGGGAAAGTTTGAAGAGACTTGTGGTAGGAAGCCACATCTGTATCAAAAGCATCTTAGCAGATACCACACAGGATACTTAACCTCATCCCACACCCAGAAATTAGATTTTTCTCCTCCTCTGAAACCCACTCCTCCCATTTTTACTGGTTGTAGGGATCTGAAACTCTACAGTAAGTTTAGCTGTACTCCCAAAATGACAGATGTGGGCAGTGAAGGAAATTACTAGTAATCAAAAGTCACTTCCCAACTAATGAAGTCAGCTAAACATGCTGATGAGTGTTTAGAATTAAAGGGCAATGATTTCATAGTCTATCTTCCTTTTTCTTCTGTAGAGAACAATGGGACTAGGAACAAACATGCTGACTTCTCACATCCTCATGCACAGAAAACTCTCCCTTGCAAGAAAAAGAGGGTTTTCATCTGAGGTATCATTCCCAGGCTCTGTGGTATTTCAAAGACCATCTCTGAGAAGGTCTGATTGCCCACCATGCAATAGGCAAGCACCTGTCTGTCTGAACTGGTTTGCAGTACCACTGGCAAGTCAGGTATTGGACTTGATGATTTTGATCCTTCACAGACACTGACATTACCTTTAATTGAAGCAGGCAAGTAGGGACTGCCATTCTTACAATGCTGTCTGAAGATGTCTTGATGTCCACCCTCCAGTCCATGTCGACCAGCCGAGGCAGGGAGACTGAGGGATTAAAAGATGGATCTGTTAGGCCCAGCAGGACATGATGATACCAGACCCTAGAACCTGTGACTGCCACCACAGCTTCTCCATTCTGGCCTGGGGAGATGTACAACTTTAATGCTACTACATGGTTTCACAGCATTTTTATTCTGGAATAAGCCAGTCTCTGAAGGCCTTCTCATGACACTGCAAGGATAAAAAGGACTCTCCCATCATTACATGCAAGGATAATACAGTGCAAGACAAGCAGAGGTAAATTTACAAAGCAGCTGGAAGAGGGAAAGCAGTAAGATGTCTTCTCCACATCATCATACCCCACCCTGTTGCCTACAACACTCAACTAGGGTTTCATCATGAGTTCTCTGAGACCTGCATGCTTATTGCTCTGCTTTGAAACTGATAAAAGTACACAGGAATGCTCTTAAAATCCAGCACTATAAAACATGTCATTTCAAGCCCCCCAACCTGTGAACCAAAGCATCCTGTAGCACAGCACATGTACTGGTAAACTGCAATCTGCACATGTCCTGCCAATTGGTTAAAAATGTTTAAAATATCATCCTAATTACATGCAGCCTAACAGAAACCACTCAACAGTCTGGTGCAATACTGGCATCAATAGCTCAGGAGGAGTCCTCAGGAGCCTTCCAAGGAAAAGACAGGTCTGACTTGGCTGCAAAGGAAAGGGCTGTCTCAGTAGGCAATTGCAGGCTGTCTGGATTCTGCCTATCATAAGATGCCTAGTTTCCTTCCTAGGGATGGATTCCTAGCCTTTCTACTGACTCCAGATGCTCAAGCTGGTTCCTAACTGCTCTTTATTGACTAACAGATTTTTTTTTCTATCTGGGCAAAGGCTCTCTCCCTCGTCCTGCTGCTTCCCTGAGCAAAGCTCCAGGGGGCAGTGCAAAACTGGCTGTCTTGCTCCTGCTTTTGGAACAGATTCCAGTTCACAGTCTGTTAGGGCCAGCACTTGGCAGCATTTGCAACAACATAAAATACATCTGTTTAGCCTTGTACGTTAATATGCAAAGATTAATTGCTGGTGGCTTGGGATGGGCAGGAAACCATTCACTTTTTTTATGTTCACACAGATCAAACTGTTGGAATGTCTGTTCTTTAGATCACTGGCTTGGCCCTCTGTAACATATGTCAGATATTTCATGAATACAATACTAATATAATCCATCATTTCCTAGAAGACTGTCTCATTCCAACAGGGCCAAATATTCATCTAATGAGTGCAAAGACATGAGCTTCTGAGCAGAGCTCCTGGGTGGTGCTTCAAGAGCCACACACCCAGCCTTGCTTCTGGGTTGTGAAGACATAGTCGGTGTGCTATGTGGTGTGCCATGCTTGCTCTCATTTCCTGTAGCACATAACAGTGTTAGGGATACAGGATACAGCACTACATGTCTTGGTAACACCAGAACACTGTTTAGTGTAAGCAACTACTGTATTAGGCAATAGCTTCTTACCTCTCCCTATTTACACTCCATTAAAACTTTGAGGGACAGTGCATTTCCAGGTCCTGCCATACTGTTTGGCTCTTGGACATGATCTCCTCTGCAGGCAAAAAAAAAGGCTAAAGAGGATCCACGCAGACCTCAGAGTAATGTATACTTTGTTATGTATCAGTTGTAAGCCTCCAGGTAAAGAAAACCTCTTGGGCAGAAAACAAAGTGTTGTAGCTGCACAGAACACCTAACAGGGATGGAACTCATTGGCCACGATGCTATTGTTAATTTGCATTCCTAAATGACATCACTGTTCAGAAAGGTGAGGAAAAAGCAGTTACAAGTATATACAGTGTACTTGCTGATGCATGGAAATGAACAAATGCATAGGACTGACGAGATATGCAGAGATAAGGTATTCCCCAATATATACATACCCTTTACAGTGCAGTTCCTTTGCAGTTCAGTTTCAAAGGTTTTGCCACTAATTGCTACATACTGCACTCTGCAGGGCAGCCCCAGACTGAGCTTGAGATGGAATTGCTCGAGAACTAGAAACAATTTAGCACAGCAGCACAGACCTGAATACAAGCCTGTTGGTTTCTGCTAAGCTCTGTGATGCCACAATCATACAGCTTCACCTAAGCCCAATGGGGGTTGTCTATGTGCTGCATTGTGATGCACTATTCCAAATTTTAAGCTCAAATGACCTCAGGAAACATTGACTGCATCAAGATGTAAACTACTACTTACTCTGACTTGCTTGTGCTTCATTCCTCCAAGCAGAGCTGTGAGAAAAAGTGGAGAAAAACAATTATCAACAGTGCTTTGAGAAAAACAAACGAACAAACAAAAAGGTAGGGCAAGCATTCAGGGTGGCTTATCCCTGACAGAAGGTCCACCAGCAGAAAGCAGGAGACAGACACTGCCTATGCTACTGACTGCCAAGGAAAGGCTGTGACTGGTGGGTAATTGTAGGCAAACTGGTGACCAACTATTGGTTCTTCTACAAGTGCAGCTAACTTATGGCATGTATCTTTCCCTTGCTTTTATCAAAGCAATGGACTCCCAAGTGTTGAGATGTCCAAGCATATGGAACTCTCCTCCTCTACCACCACCTCACCATGTACAGTGCCTCCACACCCGAGCCAAGGTGGCAACTGGATGGACATCTAGATACTACCTAGATTTTCTAGCGCTGAAATCTAGCCCCCTAAGTTTTATCATCATCTGTAGCATTTTTCAACCACACAGGTGAATTGTTAGGATAAAAGGGGCTTTGCATTATGGGAATGATGCACATGTCCATTCCAAAAGACTTGGGAAAACCCTGTGTGCCCATGGCTGTGTTTTGTTTGCCATTCCACTCAGATGATATACTTCATTCAACTCTGCTCATCCCAACCTGTGTGATAATGCCCAAGACACACACGATATTCACAGAAACAAAGCTCTGCATGTTGCCTACTGTCCACATAGCAAACTACAAACACAGGCTTTAACTCTCCAGCTGAAAGCAAGTGGCAGGTGGGTAGCACTCACATATTCTCCAAGATTATCTTAGTCAAAAGGTTTTTCAGATTTTGGTGGAAGTTTTCTGGGAAGAGAGAGAGGATATCTTCTGCCCTCGTGAAACCGCGGTACACAACGTGCCTGGTGAGGTTGTGCAAAGCAGACACCAGCTGTTGGAAAGGAAGAGCAGAAGGGCTCTGCTGGGATGAAAATCATTACATAAAGCACAGGACTGGCCTTCACTAGCCAGGAGACACACAATTTCTGCCAGGAACGACACCACTGGGGCCTCGGACATCTGAGTACAGCCTGAGCAGGAAGGGAGCTGAGGCCCTCACTGCCTCCTGGCATGCAGCTTTGGGCAGTTCCCTTCTGCTTCACTGCAAGGCCCCTGTGGACCAGCCCCAGGTGAGGATTGCTTTGACTGAGCACATTCCACTCCTTAGCACCAATTTAGGATTAAGCAGCAGTGTTATTTATTGTGGTGCCAGAGATGCAGAGGATGCCCTGCCAAGCTCCAAAATGTCCAGTCTTTTATACACACAAATTATACACATTCAGACATTTCCATGCATATAAATAAATCATTTCCCCAGAATCATTATCCTAACCCCTCCCCTTATTATAATATTGTGCATGCACACTAAATTGAGGTGGTGGTCCCAGGGGTCTGCTTTTGTGACCACCTACCAACTTAGTTTGTGAACTTTTGCTGCCCTCCCTATACTTTTGGTCCTTTTATTTCTGGGCTTTTGCCTAGGCCGGGTGCACACATGAATCCCCATTTTTGTTCTCTTACCTTCTTGTTCCATCCATCCATCCTCTGGTTCCTGCCCAGTGAGCACATCCTATACATCTTGTCTAAAACACAGAGTTCCCCTTTTCTAGCCCAGTTAAGCACAAGTCCAATAGCTCTTGTGAAAAACACACAGTTCCCTCTTTTCTAGCCCAGTAAGCACATGCCCTATACCTCTTGTCTAAAACAGAAGTTTCCCCATTCTAGCCCAGTAACTACATGCCCTAAACCTCTTGTCTAAAACACCACAGTTTCCCCTTCCTAGCCCAGTAACTATGTCCTACACAGCTGGTTTTAATTTTTATCCAAAACATACAACCCCCATCCCTAAGGTCTCCAAGGGTCTCCAAGGTTGTGTGGAGACCTCATAGCAACTTTTCAATCTCTGAAGGGGCTACAAGGGAGATGGAGAGGGACTATTTATTAGGAACTGCAATGATAGGACAAGTAATGTGTTCAGACTGAAGGAGGCAAAGTTTAGGTTAGATATTCAAAAAGGTTTTTTACGCTAAGGGTGGTGAGACACTGTCCCAGGTTGCCAGGGAGGCTGTGGCTGCCCCAACCCTGGCAGTGTTCAAGGCCAGGTTGGATGAGCCTTGAGCAAATTGATCTAGTGAGGAGGTGTCCCTGCCCAGGGCAGGGGGTTGGGACTAGATGATCTCTAAAGTCCATTCCAACCCCTAAAACTCTATAACTCCATAATTTAATAATTCTCTAACCCAGAGATGGCATCCTATCCCTTTTAATTGCCTAACAGCACAATTCTCTGATACACCTCGTTATAATTACCGCCTAAGAGCACAACCCTCTCCTTCTCGGTTAACCCCTCGG